AATCTTGTAAGATATGGGAAGCTAGGGGATTTATGCTAACTAATGCCTCCTTAGTCACATCTTTTGAAATATTCCCATCTACCGCATGGACTGTGAATTTGAATCTCTGAGGCTCAACAGCGTTCACTTCTATCTGCATCTACACAACTACTAACTCAGGGAAAGTTCTCTGGAGTATTTTCTATATAAAAATCTCATAAAAACATAATTCATAATTTAATACTATTTGATTTCTGTGCAAATATTATATTGAGTTTGCATCTTTAAAGATGAGAGCCATAACATCTTAACATTAAATGAGTATTTAAACAATATAATTCGCCCCTGAAAAGAAAATATTTCCTATGCTAAGAGAAATTACCTTTTTTTTTTAAATGTTTAGGCATATAAGTAGTAACAAGTAAATCAATCTCAAATAAAGGAAAATTGGGGAAAAAAAACTTAAGTTAGTAAGAGTCATTCTTTCCACCACTTAAAACAAGCTAGCAAATAAATAAACAATACTTCCTTTTGAAAGCAAAAAAAGAAAGAAAGAAAGAAAGAAGATACCAATGGGGTTGGCAGGGAGGAAGGAAAGGGGGTAGCAGGGAAGTGAAGGGGAAGGGTCAGATCAAGGAACAGGTGTGAAGGACACATGGACGAAGACAAGGTAGAGAAGGATTAAGGGGAGAAGGTGGGGGAGGGGAGGGCAGGGGAAAGTAGTAGCGGGTAAATGGAGACAAATGTATTTGAAAATTTTTATAAAAGTAAAAGAAATTTAAAAAGAAATAAAAATAAAATAATACATATGATACAGATGATAATGTAATGATTCAATTAAATACCTTGAGATTTTCAAAATAGTCTTTTTATTACACAATTTCAAATCATGTTCCAAAAATGGAGTACACAAAATAAAAAATGATATAAAATGTTTATCCTGAAACCTGTATGAATCAGTCCTGTTTCTCAAAATCAACTCTATAAAGAATGAATCAATGGATCCTGGTGTGGGTTAGTTAAGATATCTAAATATCTCACTGCTTTGTTCACTTTCATCTGGATATATAGCAGTGAGCACACTTTGGTTGACTGCAGTGGTTCTTTCTCTATAATTCATCAACATTTTAAACCGGGTTTCAGGAGCAGTCAACTGCTGGCACGTTCTCTTCTTCTTATTATCAGTACCTATAATTCTACCTTGTTGATCTTAGAGCTTCAACAAATAAAAAGTAGATCCCTCATACAAAATACTTATATATATATACGTATATATATGTATATATATACGTATATATACATATATATACACACACACACAACACAATGTATACACATAGCTTAACCTTGATTTCTACAGTATATGCATTTAATGCAAATGATCTTCAGATGAATACCAAATAAGAAAATAAAATATTTTGTCATTACTTATATAGTAATTTCAAACTGTATCCTTATGATTACCCCGTGTTATAAAGTTTATATTCAGTATTCCTACCATTCACTTCAAGGAGTGTTGTGATTTTTTCATTGCATATTATATACACATTTATTATTTTTTTAATTAAAGGTTTTATTTATTTTTAGAGACGGGAAGAGAGGGAGAGAAACATTAATGTGTGAGTGCATTTTGTGTGCCCCCTGCTGGGAACCTGGCCTGCAACCCAGGCATGTGCCCTACACTGGGAATCGAACCGCGTCCCTTTGTTTCACAGGGTGGCGCTCAATCCACTGAGCCACACCAGCTAGGGCTATATACACATTTATTCTTGCACCCAACCTTTGCAAGGAAAGTCAGTAAAATGGATAATCTTCCATGATATTTGTGTAGTTGTTAAAGTACACACATATCTACACACCATGGAGTTAATATCTGTTCCCCTAGCAGTTCTCACTGTCCCCATCAATCCTAGACAGCTGTTCTGGGTGCTGTCATTCTAGATATCTATCAGAGCTCACTAAATGGAAGACTCACACACAGATACTTTTCCACATAGAACGTGGGCTGCATTAGGTCATTTGGATCATACTGTACTCCTATATTAAATGATCAGCTCAGAGAGATAGTGTCTCTTAAGGGAAAAAAAATCATTAAGATAGAAGGCAGAAGACAGAACTAAGGTTTTTATCTCTTTTCTTAAATGCTGGAGCCCTCTTTGGGGTTATACTATTCACTGGAATTGTATTATTGGAAATGTGTCTTGTTTTTTAGTTTATTTATGTTCACATCTACTTTCTTTAGTTTCTGACTTTGACACACTGTAAAACTATGTTTACTTGCTTCAAGAAAGATAAGAGAGGATATTTTGTTCATAAGGCAGAGAACAAGTGAATTAACTTTCACTGAATTGGCTACTAATATCAGTCAAATGATACTCAATTACATTGTAATTATAAATAATACCCAGATATTTAGCATTGTTCAACCAACAGAAAAAAAAAGTTTATTTAATCCAGTTTCTTAAAAACTGGCTGTTTTGGCATGTAGATTCCCAACATAAAGAACATATAAAGAAGGAAAGATGGGGAAATTGGATAATTTCCCAGAATCTTCTGCCTTTGTCTTCACATGGGGTTTCATTATTTTTTAAGTAAATTCTAAGAATATCAGAAATGAATTCCTTGAATGTGATAATTAAAACATATTCTGAAGACAAATGTAACTTAATTTTGGTTGAGTGCTGCTTTAGATTATTCTTACCTTTGCTGTGCACCTTTAATTCTATTAATTGTGTGTTGACTGATGTTCAATGACATTGATACCTAAAAAAATAGTTTTTTAAATGTAATAGTGAATTGTAGCTTAGTAGCTATTTCTGCACTTTCTTTAAAAATAGTTGTGGGGACTGATTGAGGGATTGAGGAGTGGGTGAGGCAGGGGAGAACAATGCGGGGAAAACAGGGATAACTGCAATTGAATGACAATTACAAAAATAGTTGTGTCTCTGGTAGGAAACCTTAAAAAGATCATGTATGTTTTTAACCCAGATATATAAATTAAATCATTTATTAACCACATAAAGTAAAAATTGCATTATGTAAATATGCACAGAGCAACACTGTCCCTTATTTAAATCTCTTGCAAACAACATTAACTGCATTCTCCAATATAAATGTAATCATGCAAATCTTTAAAGTTCATTGTACAGACAATTCTTTTATTTTCTTATATTATTGTTTACATTTAAATAATTTCTAATGAAAATTGGCACTGGACAAACATTTGATCAGTGTCTAAACTGTAGTTTCTTAAAAAACAAATATCAATGTAAAGGCTGGGGGATTTGGGTTTAAATGTTTATTCATATTTTATAGTACTGATTTGTAGTAGTTATTCAAATATCATTTTGTGGTGGTCAGTTTGCTTTTTATTCAATTATTTATTCACTCAATATTTATAAAGTCTTCTGCTAGACACTGGGGTGGGGGGACAAGAAGATAAGACACATTCCTGTACTTCAATGAATTGTACATAGTAAGTATTGGTACAATTTTACTTTGTTTAAATATAAATCTCACTTTAGATAGCAGATGGTAAAACAGACTAGACAAAAGTACTTTCCTCCTCCTAAGAGCCTGAATAAGTTGCACAGTTTGTATTGTTCAAAATTTTAGTATGTGAAGCTATACTACTAAGGACTAGACAGAAATGCAAGGATAGATGGATCATCCCAGTGGTCACTGCCTCTTTTGAAGTTATCTTTCTCTGGACAGAGAAATAAATGCACATTATCATTGGAACTCCTTGTTCAGCTAATTTATAGTTGTCTCTGAGTGTAGTGAAGCTACCACCACTGAGCTTTGCTTTTTAAAAAAGTGAATATATTCTCATTTGTAGAATAAGGGATAAAGCAAATCTAACTCTAGCATGACCTATACTGTTCACAACTTTTACAAGATGGACTCTAAATGTTTCTGCACCTATTTTTTTGATAATAAATATTATAGGCTACATTAAAATACATTGTGATTTCACTACTTAAAGTGGAGGCAGCTGTTTCTCCTACCCCAAATATCTGGAATAGAATAAGAGCCACAGAAAATTTCTCTTTCAGGTCCTGTAGATGTGTAGATAAATACAAAACTTTCACTGAGTTCAATGTCCTGAACTTAGGTCTGCAAAAAACCAGTTGATTTTCGAGGGTTTTGTTTTCAAATACTAATTCTTTATACAAGTATTCAATAAGTACCCTTTAAAAATACCAGATTCCTTTAATGATTTAGAATCTTATACCTTGCAAAAGAGCTTTTCTGTCCACTTTTTATAGAGATACTTAAGCATTATCTATTGAGAATGAGAGGTAAGCATTTCATGCATTTAATTTTCTTCGGGTACCAGCATGTGACAACCCCATGCATAATTCAGATTCATACTACTATGACAGAATTATGTATGTCACATCCCAGCAATTCATCTAAAGCATGAAGCTATCCAGCAACTGAGCCATCAACTGCAAAATAAACCAGCAATCCCTCACAGGGAATTTTTGTTAATGTACAGTAGAAAGAATCAGAAGCAAGCAAAGGAAAGCACTTTCATTGATCTGGTATTGAAATCATTGCAGGCTTGAGTTTTCACAACTACACCTGCAGTAGAGACAGGCTAAAGTTGTGTTAGCAAAGTTCTTGTAGAACCATTCCAATTTTCAGATTTTTCATGCACACTTATATGTGGCTGGCAACAGATCTGTCCAACTAACTGAAAGTTGCAATGATTCTATTTCTATGCGTATAAACAAAGCCTGAGACTATGTTTACATAATACAAAATGAGGTCAATTTAGAATAAAAGAAGGAGAAGTTAAAACCACTGCTTTGATTTTTAAGGCCAAAACACTGGTATACAATTTATGTTACTTAAGTATACTTTTGATCCACTACTTATACTGCCTAAATAGTTGGGGGGGGTTGGCTTCTAATGCTCTGATGGTATATATTGCTTTCCATTGTCTTATTAAATGTAATATCTTCTTGATATCACTTTAGGAAGCTGATTCTATGTTTTTGTTTTGTTTCATCTAGGAAACTGTTGCTGAACCTTCCCCATCCTGTGGATTGCAACAGCGCCAAAGCTTTCTATATCCTGGAAACTGAAACTCTTGAAGTTACTGTAAATTTAAAGAGAGAGTTGGATTTTGTTAATTTTTTCTGAAACTGCATGAATAAGGGAGAAACATGGCAAAATAGCCCTGATAAAACTTTTAAGACTGGTTACTGTTTTCTTTCTTCTCTATTATTCTGACATACTTCAGAAAGGGCCTAAATTCAATTATACTGATATTATGATCATTTACAGTCATTTCTGTTACTCTAGTAGAGAATGTTGTTTTCTCATACTAATAAGCTATTCTATTTTTATAATAATAGGTGGATAGAATTTACGGGCTAACCACTAGATTACTGCATGGTCAATAAAATAACTGAGATATGACCATGAATTGGTTGGTCTACTTATTTCAATAGTCTTACAAATTTAAGCCAATTAATTATGCCCTGATACAATCAGTTGCATAATAATCAGTCATTACTATCACCATAAAAGTGTATTTGGCAGTCTTTGAATTAATTTGATTAGATGATTTACTGTTCTCTGTTTAGGATCTCATTATTGTTCTAGAATATATAAATAACAAAGGATTATAAATAGTTCGATGCACCATACAAACATGTTTTACTTGAATCAGAAATACTCTTGAGCAGACTGCATTATTTGTCTTCATCAGTCCTGCTCTCAATGTTTGGATCTAGTTAGGTTAAAAATATTTTTCTTTTTATGCATTAATTATTATTAACAATGCCTTTTAGCATACAGTGTTTATATTTAGTAGTTGAAATCCTAGACATTTAAAAGGAATATAAAGAAAAGTATGATATATTTACACATCTTGTTCTCTCATTTCCTATCTTTTATTCTTAATTGGGCATACCTATTTTATGAATTATGCCAATGTCACTTACCTCTTCTCTACTGCATTGCATAAGTATATCTCATAATTATTTATGGATAAATTATGTTTTAAAGCTAGTGTTACTTTGCCTCACACATCATTGTAGAACTGTGGTGTTACATGGGAGTAAATTTTGAAGAGATGAGTGACTTAAAGATATCTGTTGCTTCTATGTGAACTATTAAGGGACTAAACACTCAAGCAGATAGTTTTCTAGACTTATGTAGATGATATCAAGCATCTAGTTTGTGACTAGATCAAGTCAAAAGAAAAGATTGAGATTTTGGAAAAAATGGTTGTGTCAAAGCACTAAGATCTTGTAGAGAATTTGACATTGAAATTACCACCATGACTTTCTTCTGTGGAGGTTAAGAGTTGAGGGTGGGTTTAACTGAAAGAAAGCTAGTATCTGAATTTAAGTCCATGATGTTGCAGGATCAAAAGAGCATCCTACTTTGCTTTTGTGGCATCTTTTTAAAAGGCTTTAAGAATTTAAGATTATACCTAATGTGTGAAACTCTGGAGCAAGCCTAAGCTGTAACCAATATTTCTCTTCTCTAGTGTAAATAAAAAAATGTATCCCTTTTTCCTATATATTGGCCCTAATTACAGAAACCATCATTAATCAAGCTGACTGAATACATACAAGTTGTCCCTGGAAGAGAAAATAAAACATTTCCAGGCCAACTTGAATTGAGCTATGGTTATGTGGTACTGTATCAATTATATAATGAGATAGAGCTTCAAGGCAATGAAATGTGATACACTAATTTATACCAATCTACAAATCATTGTACTTCAATGTCCTTCTCTCTTTAACCTCAGAAGTAACAACTTTATTGTTGTTTTGTTTTTAAGCTAATTCACAGGACTTTTTCCCTTTAAAGAGAAATAGTCCACTAGTGCAACCGTAGGAAAAGAGAATACAAGAAGAAATTTATCTTGTCAGCATTTTTCAATGAATCTTAGCTATTACCAGAACTGGAAGTTAAGACCACAATTGTGGCATATCATTACCCTTCTCTTTCACAATATTCTTTGCCTCAATTTTTGGTTCCATAATTTCCAGTAAAATTTGTGAGGATTCAATCATTTATTCATTAATTCATTTATGCATTCTTTCAACAAATATCCACCCAGCACTATGTTAAGATCTAGTGATACAGCAATTAGGAAGCTGGATATGGTCCCTGTTCTCGCAAACAGTTAAGCAAGGGAGACAAAGAAGCAAAGTAAACACATAAACATATATTTTCAAGTTTATTGTTATTGCTATGAAGGAAAAAAATAAGTGCTTTGAAAATATCTAACAGAGAAACCAAACCTAGTCTGAGGAAGGAAAGCAGAAAAAGCTTCTCTAAGGATTTAACACTTTACCTAAAACTTGAAAAATACCTAGGACTTAGCCAGACAAAGAGAGTGTTGGGGGGAAGGAAAATAATAGGGTTTCTAGGTGCAAGGGGCAGCAAATATGAAGAACTAGACTGGAAATACTTGGAGAGTTCAAGGAAATGAAAGCAGTGTGGTTGGAGTAGAGTGAACCTGGAGAGTGTGATTGGAGGTAAGTCTGGAAATGTAGTCTAGAGCAATGTCATGTAGAACATTGCAGGGTATAGTTAGGAATTTGGATTTTATTCTAAGTGCTTTAGGGAAAAGAATGTCTTAGAAGGCACAAATGGAGGTGGGGAGACAAGTTAGGAGGCTTCACAGTAACCCAGGTAAAAGATATGATTCTATACATTCTCCTAAGTAAAACCCATTGATGATATTCTTTTCTAATTAAAAAAAAAAAAACAGAAACAAACAAAAAAAACCCCCTCATACTCGCATGCTCCAAGCAACAGGTTTTAACAATACAAAAAAGCTCGTTAAAAATAAAGCAAAACAGGTAGAGAATCAAGAAAAAGGAGGAGTGAGTGGAAGTCCCACTGATTAATGAGTATTAAAAATATTGGTAATATCAAGTATTGGCAACTCTGAAAGGAACTGGGTATTCGTAGAAACATTTTCTTCATCTTCTTAGAGCAGTCCCTTTAGCATATCTTGCTATGCTGGTTTGATGGAGGTGTATTCTTTTAGCCTTCTTGTGTCTGAGAAGCTCCTTATTCTGCCTTCCATTTTAGTTGAGAGCCTTGCTAGGTAGAGCAGTCTTGGTTGCAGGCTTTTGCTTTTCATGACTTGGAATATTTCTTGCCGTTCCCTTCTGGCTTGCAGCGTTTCTGTTGAGAAGTCAGATGCAAGCCATACCGGGGCTCCCTTATATGTTACTACCTCTTTCTCCCTTTCTTGCTTTAGGATTCTCTGTTTGTCTTTGATATTTGCCATTTTAATGATGATGTGTCTTGGAGTGGCCTCATTGTGTCCCTCTTGAATGGGACCCTCTGTGCTTCCTGGACTTGGGTGACTTTTTCTCTCCTCCGATTGGGGACGTTTTCCATCATTACTTTTTCAGACAGGTTATCTACCCCTTCCTCATCCTCTTCTCCTTCTGTTATCCCTATTATATGGATATTATTACATTTCAGGTTGTCCTGCATTTCCCTAAATGCCTCTTCATTCTTTTTGAGTCTTTTTTTCATTTTTTTACTCTTCCTTGGAACCTTTTTCTACCCTGTCCTCCAGCTCGCTGATTCGGTCCTCAGCTTCATGTATCCTGCTTTTGATTCCTTCTACTGTGTTCTTCAATTCAGAAATTGTATTCTTCATTTCCTATTGTCTCTTATTGATAGTGTCTATGTCCTTTTTCATGCTGATATTGTTTGCAGTAAGTTCCTCATAGCTTATAACCAAGGACAGACAAAAGAAACCACTTCACCAGAAAGTGACTGATAAAGAATGTGGAAAAAGCATGAGAGGGCTGGCTGGATACCCCTGGAAAGTAGCTGAAGTATTGAAGGGATATTTAAGTGACTATTGTGTCCCCCCTGAGATGTGTGGGGTCTAAACCCAAGCTGGACTCTGCAGCTCACAGCATCAGAGCTAGAAAGGAACCCAGATAACATCCAGCTGTGAAAAGCAGCAGGGTTTCTTTCCGCCAGGGAGAGTTGACTACAGACACAAAGAGCCTCTTAAAGAGCCAATGCACAAAATTCCATTTGCAGCCACTTACTTGGCCTCTGGTGAAGGAAGGGCAGAGTGGACTACATATGCATGAGGAGAGTCCAGGGTTGATGGCACTGGGGAGAGAGCTGAAGGAGTAGCTGCCAGGATCCCTGTGCTAAGTCATTCCCCATACTGCAAAGGCCACCGTTCTCAGGTAGAGCATTCCTCTCAAAGTAAAATCAGCCTGAGGGTAACCAATAGCCCCTACCATAGGAATTACTTGGCCACACCCTGTGGAACTTAAGCCTGGATGCTAAAGAGTACAACTTGAGGCTATAACATTGATAAAGTTTAGCTTTTCACAAAGATGGCACCGAGAGCTAAGAAGGAAGCCCCTGCTCCTCCCAAAGCCGAAGCCAAGGCAAAGGCTTTTAAAGCAAATAAAGCAGTGCTACAAGGTGTCTATAGCAACAAAAAAAAAAAAGAAGAAGAAGAAGAAGAAGATTCACACATCTCCCACGTCCAGGAGGCCTAAGACACTGCAGGTCCAAAGGCAGCCTAAATATCCTTGGAAGAGCACTCCCAGGAGAAACAAGCCAGGTAACCCCATTTTACCTCCCCAAGGCTTGACCACTATGCCATCATCAAGTTCCCCCTGACTATGGAATAAGCCATGAAGAAGATAGAAGACAATAATACACTTGTGTTCATTGTGGATGTCAAGGCCAACAAGCATCAGATCAAATAGGATGTGAAGAAGCTGTATGACATCAATGTGGCCAAGGTCAACACCCTGATCAGGCCTGATGGGGAGAAGAAGGCGTATGTTCGACTGGCTCCAGACTATGATGCTTTGGATGTTGCCAAGAAAATTGAGATCATCTAAACTGAGCCCAGTCGGCTAATTCTAAATATAAAAATTTTATACTACGAAAAAAAAGAAAAACATTGATAAAGTTTAATAACTAATGTGGGTCTCTGGGAGCTCTAAAATATTAGCTGAACTTTTATGGGCTGAGTGCTGGTAAAAGCCAGCTTTGGTGCACAGCTTGATTCCTTCTGTACACAAACAGGCCCAGCAGAGGGACCCACACACAGGGGATTGCTGATAGAACCAAACAGGTTGCTCAGGGTCAGTCACAAGCAGTGTCTGACAAAGGGATGCACCAAGAGTCATTGCCAAT